GCTTAAAGTCACAGGAGACAAATTTTTACCATATGCCACCAAAAATCTGTAAGTGGGTAGTGGTTTAGCATGTGTTCCTTTAACTAGCTGTGTGAATTAATGTCTCTGGATGCCAAGACCCTCCTCTGTAAAATGCTGTCAGTGCCCTTGAAGGTTCAGCTGATACCTATCAAATACCAGCTCTGGGCATGGCTGCCAGAAGGAAAGAACCAGGACCCCAGCCGGCAGGTAGCAGCAATAATGGGTTGGGTCAGGGGGTGACTGGTTCCTGATAGGCTCCCTACACATGGAGGACCTTTAGGCACTAGGGTGCTGCAGGAGTCAGCAGTGGGTTAACAGTCATACTAATGACAGAAGCTACTGTCTTTAGAGCATCTACTAAAAGCCAGGCTCTGTACTGGGCACTTTGATTCTTAGGTCAACTACAGCCTCTGTTTGGAAGTGAAAGATCCCAGAAGTTGTAGAATTTCCCTCCCGTCTTCAAAGAAGCACCTCTGGGGAGAAAAACCTCCCACTGCTGCACCTCTATCGTGTGCTAGGCCCCCAGACATTTTGTAGGCATTTGTTTCACTCAGTCTTCCTGTAACAGGGTGGTCCCCAGGAAAAGGGGAGGTTCCAGGTTCCTTGCCCCACCCAGAAAGAGCAGGTGGAGATGAAGAGAAAAGAGAAGGAGTCTGGAGAAGAAGGAAGCAGGATGGAGACCCAGGAGACCTGAGGAAGCCACATGGAGCAGCAAACATGTGATGAAGAAACCGTGCTTGTTTCTTGGCCCTGGACTGGTTGAAAGAGATGTGGGTGAGAGACCTGTGGGGAAGTTCACTATGGCAGTGTTTATCTTGATTTTGATGTTGCTCTTTTCCTCCCAGATTTGTCTGGTCATTTCTGATCCTTTTCTATGGGTCCCAGCTAGAAAGTGCTTTAGACTTGTGGTCTTTCAGGCCTTGCTTTGGGCCAATCCCTTTTGGGTTGACTTTTGCCCACAAGGGGATGGGTGACTTCGGGTGTTTGACTTAAAAATTATATTCTTTGTCTTTTGTATTGTATACTCACTGTATTAAAGTTCCTTTTCATTAAAGCTCTTATGTCTTGTCTTGATGCAGCGGATAGCAGAACCTCCTTAGGGCAGGCAGGTTTGGGGGTTCAGGGGTGCCCCTCTCTCCCTGCCCTCTAACATTCCTTCCAAGTCCACAAGAAGAAACCCCATCCTGAGTTTGAGAAATTGAGGCTCCAAAGGGTACCCGAGTTCACCCAATGCTAAGCAGCAGCCCAGAACGAAAATACCCATTTTGGACTTCAAAGTCCACACCCACTTAAGATCCCAATTTTATCAGAAAATCCACACTTCCTTCCTTTTTCTGCACAGTGGAGTCCCACGAGACATCAAGAACTACTTCACATCCACCCAGAACAAGACTTGTGCTTTACTTGATAACTAATACACAAATCCCAGAAGTCCGAAAAAGCATAGACAGAATTGAACACTGGATGCAAGACACAAGCCTGAGGCCCCCTCTAGAACAATTGCACTCTTGAGCCCAGTGTACAGATGAAACAGTGTACAGGGGTTTAAACAGTTAAACACGTTCTCCAGCTGTGGGCAGAGCCCGCACTGGAAGCAGGTTTTGTGTGCCTAGAGCAGACTTCGCTCATCTCCCCCTGCTGCTTCCATTTATTTTCATCCCGCTTCTCATCTTGGTGGGTTCATCTTGGTGACACCTTTGCCTGGGAGCAAATTCCAGTTCTCTGGTACATCCCTGAGTTGCATAAGGGAATGGGAAGGTGTGCCTCAAGTCTAAGACTGTCCCCGGCAGGCAGGCTCCATATTCTGGGCCCCCAGGGGGAAGGATTTTCCAAAACAGAACAACAAGTCTCAGCAGGCAGCCACACGTCTGCTTCCAGAGCCCAGCAGAAACTGCAGAAACATGCAAACACTCAACTCTCCGGGAACTTTCTTCCCCCTTAATTAGCTTCCTGGCTTTCTTGAGTGACTTGACAAGTTGGAATTTGGAATTTCAATGCACCCATCTGCTTAGTCCTACCCTCCGCTGGGTTCTGAGTGGGATTCTGGAGTCGTTCAGCACGTCAGCACGTCAGCACCCTCCAAATTTAGAGGCTGAATGGGAGAACACAGCCTGGGAATGAGCAGCCCACTGGGCACCTCTCAGCCAGAGACTGAGGTGTGAGGACTTTGCTCCATCCTGTCCTCCCAGCCCCTTGGGCAACTGTGGGATCAGGGGGGCCCCCGGCCAAACCCCGACACTTCTCCCTTGTTCTGATCTCAGCCATCTCCATTCACATCCTCACTGTCCCTACCTGCCCTCCACCCCCCTACGCTGATCAAATGAGATGATGCCTAGAAAGTGCCTTGCTAGAGGCTGCACCCTGTAGAGTGCCAAAAACCCAAGAGAAGGGTGTTGCTGGTTTTATTATCAGCCCCCACCCCATGCCTTTCTGCATCTCATCTCCATGTCTCTGCCCACAAGGCTCCCTCTTCCTGGACAGCACTGGTTTACCTGGCAAATATGTAGCAACCCCCAGAACTCAGCTCAGATTCCCCTCTTAGAGAAGTCTCTCCTAAACTCCTACCCTCCACCCAGATGGGGCACAAACCCCATCCCTGCACCCTCTTCCACCAGCACCAGCTGTCTCCTCAGCCCCAGTGCTCCCACCTGTGCCCACTCGCCGGGGCACTCCGCAGGGGGAGGACTGAAGCCAGCTTCTCCTCCATTCCCAGAGCCCAGCACAAGGCTCAGCGCCCCCAAACAGCTCACACTCAGTACACGCTCTTGCACACTTCAGCTGAGAGAAGGGGTGAGTTGAAGCCGCAGGCCATGGGGGCAGAGCCCCAGGAACCACAGCCCCTGCCAACTGTCATCGTCTTTAGAACACAGCATGGTGTTTGACCCTCTCATGCCTGGCATGAGAAGCTCACATTGCCAGCAGAACCAGGCCCGCCCTCTGGACAAGAAGTTTCTAAGGAGTTCCTGGGTGGTGCGCCAGTGCCACCAGCCACCCTTCAGGCAGTGAGTGGCTAGAGCTGTGGGCTTCAACACGTGGCCCTCCAGGCCAGCAGCTGCAGCTGGAAGCTTGTCAGAAATGCAAGTTCTCTGTTCCCAGCCCGCACACCCGCTGGGGCTGTTCCGGCTATCTGAGTGGCAACAGCCCGCCAGAGAATCGGAAACACTGACTCTGACAACCCACCAGCCCCAGCCTAACCTGTCAGCTCAAGTACTCCTGGATATGAACGCAGCGATGAGACCCCCCTCCCCCCGTGGGGCAGCCTGGGTCGGCTCAGCTCTGTCCCCAGGGCCCGGGGTCACCCTCTCAGCCACACCCTGCCATGGAGGGTGTCCCTGGCCGGACGGTACCATTTCTGTCCCAGCTCAGACAACTATCTTGAGGGTCTCAAACACAGGGGCTCTCTGACACATTTTAAATGTTCCTTAGAGAGATGGAACTGTAATTGGAGATACTACTATGCCAAAAGCCCAGGGCTGAGGACGGGGGATGATGAAGAGAACAATGTTAATAGAAAATGCAACTGAAGTAATAGAAGTGACAAAACTGTACCAGCTGCCCTCCCAGGTGGTGCAGCGGGTTAAAGCGCAGCACTGCAAGCTGGCTGCAGCTGCTTCCATGCGAGTTCGATCCATGGCCCCGGAGGTGACCACATGGCACGGCAGACCTCTCCTGACCTGCCCACTGCTCCCCTCAGCAGTGTGCTTTGTCGATCTGCCTGTTTTATACCCCACTCTGTTGCACTTCTGGCCTGTACCCCAGTTCTGTATACATGGATAAATAATCTTCAAAAAAAAAAAAAAAAAAACCAAAAAACAATTCAAAAAAAAAAAAAAAATTACACCTACAGCTAACAAGATTCTAATACCGCTTTCTCTCTGCACATGTGACCTTGCCAGAGATGTACCAGGGGAATCTGGGATGACGCCCAGGGTCAATATCTGGATAATGAGATTGAAGGCCTATTCTGGCTTTCTCTTCTAAACCTCTCTGGGCTATGTAAGCTTTGTTTAATAAACTGACATTATCTCTTCGACATTATCTCTTCATAACAATAAAAACCATTACAGGCATATTATCGAGCACTGTGCAGTAAATATGAGGAGTTCCAAGTGACTGTCTCCAGCTTTGCAAGCCAGAGAATGCGCTGGGCAGCCTTGGATGTGAGATTCTGGTTTTAAAGATGGATTAAAAATGCAGACATCCCAACCCATGCTACAACTGATGAACCCTGAGGGTGTGATGCAAAGCGAGATAAGCCGCCAGATGGGACAAATACTGTGAATCCATTTGTGCGAGGCTCCCAGTGTGGCCGGCTGCACTTGCAGAGGGGAAATGGGAGGGGCAGGGGGCTGGTGTCCAGTGTGGACATGGCTTGGTGTCTCCGAGAGGAAATGAGTCCTGGAGAAGGGCAGTTACACACAGGGTGAACACACTAGTGCCAGCTGTGCACTTAAAATGGTGATGACTATACATGTTATGTTGTGTGTATTTGACCACAATTTAAAAATAGCAAGAAGAAGGGCGACCCCCAAAATAAGAGATTATGACACGTGTGCCTGATGTACTAGTTTGCATTCGGAAATGGACACAGGGTCATGTTGATTCCCCCAACCCCCCCAACCAACCATTCTGATGGAATTCTCTCGACGGGAACACAAGAAAATAGATTACAGCGTCCACCCCAGCGGCACCCTGGCCTTGTGCTAGGTGAAGGGCTACCCTGTGTCCAGTGGCAGGCTGGGCATCCCTGGCCTCTACCTTCCTTCCCTATATGCCAGCAGCCTCCTCTCCACTCACCTTGACTAAAGATATTTCCAGATATTGGCAAACATCCCCAGGAAGACAAAATTATCCTTGTCAGGAACCACAGGGTTATACTAAGCCAATAAGAATTGTGCGCTCAGCGGCCAAGGGGGTGAGGTCCCCACACCTATTTCCTTCTGCTGAGAAGCCAGGTGACACCCCAGCAGGCCACTTACCCAGCCTGATATCTCCCTCGAGGGTCATCAGCACATTGCCAGCCTTCAGATCCCGGTGGATAATCTTCTTGCTGTGCAAGAAATGGAGGGCTTCCAGCATCTGGCGACATACAACCTGAATCTGGGGCTCAGTGAGGCCTCTGTCCAGCTCTAGAAATAGAGGAAGGAAGAGCTGTCAATTCAGCAAGGGCTCCCTGCAGTAAGTGCATGTCAGTCCTGCCAGTCCCAACACTAATGAGCTCCTGCTTGACCTGCTCCCTTCCGAGCAACTCACACACCACCCACTGCACCCTTACAATAGCCCTACGCAGCAGGCACAATTACTATACCCATTTTACAGTGGAGGAAAACTAGGCTCAAGGCCGTGGCTGCAGAGCTCAGGCTCCTAAATGCAATCCTGCTAAGAGGCAGAGACCCCTGGGCAGGCACCCAGAGATAGGTGCTTGGTGCAGGGCACAGAGCGCGGGGCATGGAAATCCTGCGCAGCACCTGGAACGGAGCAGGATGCAGGTGCAGGAGGGCAGCGAGCAGCTGTGCCTGGGCAAACTGGGAGGCTCCCCAGAGGAAGAGACACAGCTGCCTGTGACGAAGAATAAGTGTTTGAGGGGGAAAAGGTGGGATCAGGATATTCCAGGTCAAGGAATTAGCAAAAGCAAAGGCCTGGAGGCTGATGTGAATTAGCTGGTGTGAATGAAATTTCAGCTGGCTGTCGAAAGGGGTGCTGGAGACGAAGGAGAGGCTGCAGGACCATCTCTTAGATGCTCTTGTGTGCTCAGAGACACACCCAGGGATGCGCATGGCCACATACAGCCCAGTGTCCACTTAAGGGCATCTGAGTCCTTCTCTGAGCAGGTGTGGCTCAGAGTATCCTGCACATGGAACAGCATGTGCGAAGGGTACAGTTGGCTGGAAGGGAAAGCAAGTTGAGGTCCAAGCCAGGTAGGTAGGTAGGTAGGTATGGAGGCTGCATTTAATCTGAAATGCAAGGGGCAGTCCTCAAGCAACTCGAAGCAAGGAAGAGACACAATCTGATGGTCACTTTTTAAAAATACTCTCCAGTGCACTGGAGTGAAAACCTTGCAAGGGAGAAAAGAGCAGGCAGGGGGCTCAGTTGTCAGGGTGGTCTAGGGTTAGGGCCAGAAGGTGCACAGGGAAGAGCAAACATTCTCCACTCAGTGGGTTAGGGCGGGAATGACAGAATGTGGGAAAGTGGATACAGTGGGAGGAAGGTCGTGAAACATTCAAGATAGGATCACATGCTCATTGCCTCAAAGTCATGGTCATTATTCAGTCTTGCTGCCACCCACTCTGGAAAGCCCAGCCCCAGAACAGGCTCTTGAGTCAGGGATCCCTCTCTCTGAGGTCCACAAATGGTCCTCCTACCTACAGCCTCCACTCAGTAATCAGCCTCAGAGCCTACAGGGACCTTGGGGTGTGCCCAGACTGAGCCTGGTCACAGGTGCTGGCTGCCTCTTAATAGCAGAACAGTTTCTGGCAAGTCACTTCCTCTCTGTCTCACTTCCTGATCATGATGATGGGCTATGTAGGCAACGTTCATAACCCTGATAAAGCAAGGTAATTCTCAGCATGGAGAATAGTCAGTAACAGTGATTATCCCGGATTATCTGCAACAATTTTCAAAAATTGTGCTTAGCTTTGTACTGAGCTGTAACTGATATAGGCATGTCTTATTAGTTTCAGGGGTGGAGTATGTGTCAATATTTGTGTATGGTGTGAAATGATCACCCTAGTAAGTCTAGTCAACAGCTGTCACTATATCTAGTTACTAAAGGTACTATTTGACTCCACCCATTTCATTCACCCTCACCTCTGGCCACCACCAATCTGTTCTCTGAGCTAGGACCTTGGTTTTTTATAGATTCACAAACAAATGAGGTCATTTCTGGCTTATTTCACTAAGCATAATGGCCTCAAGGTCCACCCACATCGTTGCAAACAGCCAAGATTTCTTCCTGTTTAAGGACTGAATAATACTATGTTGTATATATACACACCATATTTTTTCCACTTTTCACAGTTTTCTTATTCATTCACCACTCATGGACACTGAGCTTGCTTCCACTCCTTGGCTATTATAAATAACGCTGTAATGAACATGGTGAACATATGTGCAATGTCTTTCAAGTTGGCGTTTTTATTGCCTTCAGAGGTAAAATTGCTAAATCACAATAGCTGTAGTTTTCATTTCTTTTAACCAGTTTAACTTTTATTAGTAAGAAAAAAACTAAACTCAGGAAATTGCTTTGTTCTAACAATCTAGTACAAAAGTAAAACTTTCTTCTCTTTATTAGGGCTTAGGTAAGGACTATCCATATACCAGTTCTAAAAAAAATGGCATATTAGAATATCTAGTAAAGTTAAGTAAATGGAAATAAAGAAAAGACATTAGATATTGAAAGTCATGGGGGCTTCTCCCCCTAGAGATCACAGGACTTCCTTTATCTTCTTCAGGGTACCTCATCTGCAATCATAAACATTTCATCAAAATCAATCTTATTGCACAACCCTCAGAGGAAAAAGCTGAGTAATTTTCACAGGCTCACTGTAAAGTTCAAGATCAAACAGGTGTTTATTTTCTGTGAATGGGACATAGAACACACACACAATGGTAGTGTTGTCAATTACTTTTCCAATTATTCCCACAATGCCAGAGATTATCGAGGGGCTCTGTCAACTCACTGGCTCTATTTTTTTCCTTCTTCACCTTAAAGAACAAACATTTCTGGGCCCTCCCTGGTGGC